AAAATTACCTATGACTTTTTAAAGCAGAACCCTACTATTACCAGCAAATGATGGTATTTGCATTTTGGGAACAGAAGTCTTGACTGTCCATTAATCATTCTTGACAATATAGTAATTCCAGAATCCTACACAGTAAGAAGTGGAAGTAAATAACAGGGTAGAGAGAAAAGTCATTCTGACATTCTAAATGAAAGGCAGGTTAAATTTTGTATGTGTTAACCTTGAATGTGTAGTTGATATATAAAGTAATGCCTTGGGTGAGCAAGTAAGGGTCAAAATACATTAATTAATATTCATTAAAAAAGAAGTACATTTTAGAAAGATCAGGTGGGGGCACCTGGGTGGCCCAGTCGGTTAAGCATCCAACTTCAGCTCAGGTCATGATCTCGCGGTTCGTGGGTTCGAGCTGTGCTGACAGCCAGCTCAGAGCCTGGAGCCTGCTTCAGATTCTATGTCTCCCTCTCTCTCTGACCCTCCCCTGCTCACACTGTCTCTCTCTTTATCTCAGAAATAAATAAAACATTTAAAAAATTTTAAAAAAAAAGAAAAATCAAATGGTTGAAGTTTTATTGCTTAAAGGAGCAAATATCAGTTACCTAGAAAATTAGCTTCCGTGTCTTTGCTTCTGAAAGGAAATGGTAATCATTATATTAGGTTACTATCACAACAGAATCTTCTAAAATTTCTGATTGTACTCCAATCTATTTCTGGAATCTATTCAGGTACAGCATGTACTCAGACGATTTTATAATTAGACAAATACAGAGCAAAGGAGCAAATGGTTGGCTACCTAGGACATATGGTACAACACAGAGATTAGCAAAGAAAAAAAGCTATGCAAGTACAATGCTTATAGATGATTAGTCTCACACTTTTTATTCCTATAAATGCACCTCGTGATATATATAATCATAATCACAGTTATTTAATCTTCTGCTTTCCTGTCCATTGCCTCTTGTAGGACCATGGTTTGTTGGTGAAATTACTGAAGGCAAATTGGGTTGCTGCTTTTCCTTTGGGATCTTTGTTGATGGACATTTCCTACAAGGAAGCCTAACATTTATAGTTGGACTTCTGCAGGTAAGAAATCAGAAATGGAATTTAAAAACATCTTGGATTTTTGGACTAATTGCATAATAGTTTTGAATTACATCCAGTCTCAAACACTGTAGATCATATTTTCTAATTTACTAGCAGGGCAATCTTTAATATTTGGTGTTTATTTGTTTTTGAGTGCTTCCTAAGCTCAATCTTCCACTACTTTCTAATAAACATCTAAAATACATTTTGGCAGTTATGGTTTATAAAAAGTGAAACAGGTTTTTGTTTTTGTAATTTGTTTTACTGTGTTTTTCCATTGATAAAAAATGAAAAACAGGACTTATAGTAGAAGGAAGGAAAAATAGACACACACACAAAATGGGTTAATTATCCAATGAAAGCTACACTGGGTAAGAATAAGGTCTAGGCTTTTAAGTGGTGTCTTAGAGGTATACTTGTTTGGGAAAACACTGTTATGTTAGGTTTACATTAGGATTAAAATTCCTTTAGGGGCGCCTGGGTGGCTCGGTTGGTTAAGCGTCCGACTTTGGCTCAGGTCATGATCTCATTGTCTGTGGGTTTGAGCCCCACATCAGGCTCTGTGCTGACTGCCAGCTCAGAGCCGGAGCCTGTTTCAGATTCTGTGTCTCCCTCTCTCTCTGACCCTCCCCTGCTCATGCTGTCTCTCTCTCTCTCAGAAATAAATTAAAAAAATATTTTTAAAAACAAGGATTAAAATTCCTTTAAAGCAAACACAAAAACAAACAAAAAAACCTGACCTGTAGCAAATCTCTGTATATAGGTTTGAAAGTATTAACCTATTTATTTATTTTACTCATGTAATGGAACTAAGCTACTAAAATCTCAAGTGATGATCTCATGTTTGGGAAGAGAACCAAAAACATTGTTCAAAATGAGTTTACAGCCTCATAGCAGGGTAGTAAAACATGATCAGGAGGATTATAGACAGACAAAGAGGGAAGACTTATGCCTAATAAACACTAACCAAAGACCAGAACATTCTCAGCATAGCAGCATTTTATATGCGCATAGGTCCCAAGTCTGGTTTAGTTCTCTTTTATGTATTATTACATAAGTGGAGGCTGTCTCTCACGAGTACACTTGTAACAAGTAAAACCTGAGTGTTACTAAAAGGTGGTGTTTTTATTCATATTTTAATAAATAGTACACTAATACTGGATTTTAGGTATCATCGAGGCCTGTGGTTCCCAAACCTATTATCCCTGTCCTTGACTTCTCTGCACTTCAAGTGCCTATATATCCAACTGCCATTTCACGTCTTCCCTTAGATCTCTAACAGCCATCTCAATATTATGTGTCTAATAGGACCTTTAGTTTCTACCCCAAACCTGTTCCTCCCCCAGTTCTTTCCAATTTCAATAAATGGCTCCACCATTTACCCAATTTTTCTAGGATGTATCCTTAATTTTTCCCTTTTCCTCTAATACACTGTACCTAATTCATTAGTGAGTAATCCCTTGTTTGATCTCCCTCCAGTGCATATCTTGAATCCATCACTTCTTTCCATTTTTGTAACCACCACACTAGTCTAACTCATAATTATTTCTTGCTGGGCTACTGCAATGACCTCCAGACTGTTCTTCCCACTGCTGCTTTTGCCTCCCTACTGTCATTTTGCCACAGAGTGTCCACTATTGTCCTTTTAAAAGCTTAATCAGCTCACTCCTGAGCTTAAAAACCTTTAAGCAGAGCAGTGACATGATCTTGGTCCCACGGACTGCCCCCATTTCCATCCAGCTCATCATATTCCAGGTTCATGGGTCTTAAATAGGGTAAGACCTCTCTCACATCAGGGGTTTATATTTGTTTTTTCTGTCTGGAATGCACTTCATTCCACTGAGTCATTCCTGTTTTCAGGCCTCAGAAAACCCATCTCTCAGTTACCCTCTTGTGACCCAGTTATTTCCTTCACTGAATTATCACAATCTATAATGATCTTTTTTTTTTTTTTTTTGGTCTCTCTTCTCTCTGTGAGAATGTAAGCTCTATGATGTATCCTTTCTAAGTTGTTCACTACTGTGTCCTCAGCCTAGAGCCTATCACAGTGCCTGCCGTGTATTGGGAGCATGATAATTATTTGGTGAATGAATGAATGAATCATACAGCAGCTAAATTTGGATTATAACTTAAATCTTCTGATTCTCATTCCAGTACTCATCTTGCTACTTCAATTAAATATACATGGGGTGCCTGGGTGGCTCAGTCAGTTAAGCATCTAACTCTTGATTTCAGGTCATGTCATGATCTCACTGTTCATGAGATTGAGCCCCGAGTTGCACTCTGAGCTGACAGTGCAGAGCCTGCTTGGCATTCTTTCACTCCTTCCTTTCTGCCCCTTTCCCACTCATCCCCTCCTACCCAATAAATAAACTTTTAAAATACAGTGATAATGAGGGTACCTGGCTGGCTCAGTTGGTGGAGCATACAACTCTTAATCTTGGGATTGTGAGTTTGAGCATTATGTGTGGTGTAGAGTTTACTTTTAAAATAATGAATAATGAAATACAGAGATAAAAAAAAAATAGTGATGCCTAAGTCCCCCCTCATTCTACCAAAAAGAAGCGTGTATACGTGTGTTTATATACCTGATTCATTTCCACCTTAAACATTACTGAGGGCTTCAACATAAATGATACCTACTTTTAAGATGAACAAAAGGATACAGGTACAACTATAAGTCATCTCTTGTGAGTGTTATAAGCAAGCATGATTGAAGCATAAACAATCAGAGAATCAGCCCCAAGAGAGAGAGCAACATATTCTTAGGAGCCACCAATAATGTGTTAATGAAACCCAATCCCCTAAGGTCTTGGTAATAAGCTAACAGTCCTGTTCTGCTTCTCTTTCCAGCTGGCATTTTTTAACATCCCCTTGATGGCTTACCTTTGTTGGAGCTTGTTGCAGCGATGCTTTGGTCACAACTTTCGGTCTCATCTCCGTCAAGGCAAATACTTGAAGAATATACCTGTTCACCTACTTATGTTACTGTTGTACATCTGGCAGATTTATTCCTGCTATTTTCTTCATATGACATATGGCACTTTAGCTTTCTTCTTCTCCCCTTTGCGGACCTGGTTGACACTGTTGACACCTGTTGTCATTCGTTGTGTGTGGACACTGAACTCTGCCAAGCTTGGAACCTTCATAGCGCAGTTAAAAAGCCACTTGAGCTCCTGAAGGCCATGCCTTACCATCTGCCTTTGCAGCCCAGGCCCCTGCCCCAGTGGCAGGTGGAAGGCCAGTGTTGGTGGGCAGGCATCAGGGAGCTGCTGCACCTTGGACACCTGAGAATTGGAGAGGATTACCCACTACTGATTCCTGCAGAATGGACTGCAGAAAAAAATCTCTAAGTAATGCCATGATTCCTTCCTTCTCCAAGAAGGCAAAGGGTTGATTTACTTTTGTGAAGAGAAAGTCCCAGTCAGGAGATCCACAGGGCAGGTGTGTGTATGGTTGTATCAGAAGCCCACTGTATTTTTTACGGTTACCTCATGTAAAGTACCTAGCACAGTGTGTGGAACTCGGCAGTTGTGCCGGGTGCCACTTTAGGGGCAGGGAACCAGTGTGAACTTGGGCCCTACTCTGACTACCCTTGAGATACTAGCTCCCAGTCTTCTCCCTCGGGGTTATGGGCTCTCTGCTTCTTTAGGTGGAGAGGGATGTTTTCATCTAATCAAATAAATGAATGATGGATAAGAACTCCAAACGAGTTTTGTGTATGTGGTCCGGCCTCCAGGCGGGAGGAGGCGTGGCCGGGCCCCCGGGAACCGAGAGGCGCGGCCCGGCTTCGGAGGCTGAGAGGAGGTGTGGCCGCGACTCCTGCAACAAAGAGGCGTGGCCTGACCTTTGGGAGGGAGGAGGCGTGGCCCGGGCTATGGGGCGGGTTGGGTTTGTTGTTGCCGGAAGCGAACCCGGTCCGTGGCTCCCGGAAGTGGAGCTCCCAAAGCAGTGTGCCCCCAGCAACTTCCGTGGCTGTTTTCGTCTTGAGGTTCCAGGCAGTCTTCTGAGATGGCGAGCGCAGCCGCACCTACAGCGGCTGTCCCCACCCTAGCTCCTCCTTTGGAGCAGATCCGGCACTTGGCAGAGGAGCTGCGGTTGCTCCTGCCTGGAGTGCGGGGTGAGCTGCTGCCCTTGGGACGGGCAGCAGTAGGGGCGGGCTCGGTTAGGGAAGAGGCCGGCTGTGGGGCGGGCGGGGGCGAGGACACGGGCGGAGAAGGTGGGGGTCGGGGGTGGCTCGGTTTATCTCTGCTCTTCCTTTTGCGCCTCCCCGCCCTGCCCGGACCGCTTGCCACATCCACTAGTCGGCGAAGCCCAGGAGACCACCAAGGAGTTTAATTCTGAGATGTTTTGGAGGAGACTCCGTGAGTGCCTCTCCTGTTGGGGACTTGAATTTCTCATCCCTTCCTGTGTCCTGACCCTTTTTTCCTCCCGCTTTTGCCCTGCCGCATCCTCTCAGTGGGAATACTTCACCTTCCTCATCCTGAGTACTTCAGAAGTTGGAATATAAAACATTGATTTGGGGAGGTGTTTTTGAGGCGTCTCAGCCGATAAAGGTTGAGAGGAAACGCATCATCTGCAAAGTCCCAGCGGCAGCTGCAGGCTTATCCTTTTGGCACTAACATTGGCTCCTGCCTCCTCCTCTGTCGTCCCTCAGATGAGGCAGCTGTGAACGTGTCAAGGCAAGCCACGACTCTGACCGAGGTCTTCACTCGTCTTCCACTGCCCTCTCCACAGGTGGGCTTTACTTTCCTGGAATCCTTGTGCTGCCTCCTTATTCATTAGGAATCCAGTCATCTTCTTTCTTTTTCTTTTTTTTTTTTTAATTTCTGAGAGAGAGATAAGAGAGAGAGACGAGAGAGAGAGAGAGAGACATCGTGAGCAGGGGAGGATCAGAGAGAGAGGGAGACGCAGAATCTGAAGCAGGCTCCAGGTTCTGAGCTAGCTGTCAGCACAGAGCCCGATGCGGGGCTCAAACCCACGAAACATGAGATCATGACTTTAACCGACTGAGCCACCCAAGCGCCCCAGGAATCCAGTCATTTTCTTTCCATGTTTTCCACTCAAGCCAGAGGATTTATTTTCCACACCTGTCAAGATGGCAGTTCTCACCTCACAGGATTGTTGTGAAGACCGAATTGCCAAGGGCATTACCTGGCATGGAGTAGGCAGATCTTTTAAATAGGTATTGGTTCAATCCGAAGTTCATCCTGGTTATTTACTTTCTTATATATATTTTTTTAAGCACTTGCTATTTGCTAGGTGTTTTCACATACATGATTCCCATCTGACAGCTGAATAAAAGGCTTAGAGGCTCAGGTAAATAAGCACTGGAGGTAGGCTTTAAATTAGGGTCTATCTGATGTCTAAACTACACCTTTTCTGTTATACTATGTGATACTCTTTTTACATTGAATTACTTTTGAATAACTTTTTATGTTTAGTCAATAACATGTATACAGTATAAATGCAGAAGATGTCAAAGTTAAGTGCTAAAAAGTTTATATCTCTCCTCCCCGGTTCCTTTTGTATTCCATATATATTTGATGTGTATACACACTTATGTGTATATGCCAGCTTCTTTTTACACAACTGTTAGGATACCATAAACACTTTTCTGGACTTTCCTTTAAAAAAAAAATTAACGTGGCTTGCAAATTGATTTTTTTAATGTTTATTTACTTTTGAGAGAGAGAGAGAGAAAGAGAGAGCAAAGGCAGGGGAGGGGCAGAAAGAGAGAGAGAAACAGAATCCAAAGCAGACTCCAGGCCCTGAGCTGTCAGCACAGAGCAAGCTTGAGGCTCGAACTCACGAACTGTGAGATCATGACCTAAGCCAAAGTTGGATGCTTAACTGAGCCACCCAGGTGTCCCTCAGATTGATTCTTAGCAGCACATATAAAACTGCTCCGTTTTTTGTAACACTGAATAGTACTCAATAGAGTGGATATAACCATAATTTATGTAACCAATGCTTTATGTGAACATCTAAGCTATTTCCAGCTTGTACTTGTAACTATTATAGATAGTGCTGTGGTAAATTGCCTAATCTTTCTATATATATGCATATCAGGAAAAAAATTCCCGGAGTGGAGTTTCTGGAGCAAGAATTTATGCATTTTTAAAATAACTTCTTTTTATAAAACTGATGAAAGTAAACATGGTGTTATGCTAGGTATGCTTTATGCTCGGTTTTTCTAGAAATAGGTATACTTAATTTGGGAGTCAGGTTATTTTAAAATGGCATATTCGTTACCTTATTTGGTTTTCATCATTAATAGTTTCATTCTGTTTGTCAGTCTGTATATCCAGATGTTTTGAAATGAAAAAATACTCCTTGCTGCACCTACAATGATGCTCTCCCCCTAACATACCTTAGAGATCTGTGATGAGAAAATAAGAAATGAATTGTCTGAGAGCATTTTAAAAGCTTTGTGCAAGAAAGTCAGTATTTATTTCAACAAGAGCTAGGTAGCTATTACCTTATTTTTCTTTTTTTTCTTTTTTTTTTAAATTTTTTTTTTAATGTTTTATTTATTTCTAGGAGAGAGAGAGAAACAGCGTGAGCAGGGGAGGGTCAGAGAGAGAGGGAGTCACAGACTGAAATAGGCTCCAGGCTCTGAACTGGCAGTCAGAACAGAGCCCGACGCGGGGCCCGAACCCACGAACCGCGAGATCATGACCTAAGCGAAAGTCGGACGCTTAACCGACTAAGCCACCCAGGCGCCCCTATTACCTTATTTTTCTTATCTGTTGTCTCTTTCAAATATATTTGAGATTTGCTGCTAATATTCATAGTTGGTAGCATACCATGAGGAGGAGGCCTGGAACTGTTTTTCTGTACATGCCTTGGACATTGGTTTCACTTACAGATGAAAAGTTAGAATTTGGTTTTACTTGAATTATGTGTATTTGAATCATGAATGCTTCCATAGCATCTTAACATGTGAGTCCTACAGAAGTATGGCTTTGTTTTTTATGTGTTTGGATGTTGAAGCAATGTCAAATTGCCATAAAAAGTTTTGACACTTATTCTCAAACATTGTACTTATCCAACATCCCAGACTGATAACAATTCATGGACTGTCCCCAATCAGTGGACCACATTTTACATAGCACTGACTTAGAATTTAGCAGAAAAGTGAGAACAAGCAATATAGGAGAAAGCCAGTGACTGCTTAGAAGCAAAATAGTCAACACTGTAGAGTCCTTGCTAATTTCTTTTAAGTGTGAGAGAGAGAGAGAGAGATCAGACACCTGGTAATGGTCTAAGATAGGGTTGGCAGATTTTTCTGTAAAAAGCCAAATAGTAAATATTTTAGGCTTTGCAAGCCAACTACCTAACTCTGCCCTTGTAATGCTAACACAGCTTTAGATAATATGTAAATGAGCATGGCTGTGTGCCAGTAACACTTTATTTCAAAAAAACATCAGTGGGCCTAATTTGGCCCATAGGCAATAGTTGTCAACTCCTGGTCTAAGATATGGTGAATACTTCATAGCAGATCATGAGTATCTTGGGATGTAGAGTATTCGGAATAGGTTTTTCCTGCTATTCCTTAATGTTGTCAGCTGGGTCTCAGGGCCAGCTAACTCCTCTCTGCTATGTACTGAGAACAGTGCAAGGCCTAATTCAGAATAGGACTACAGAAACTGTTTATAGATGATGCTATACAGATGTCTGCTCTCTTTGGCAGCTAATGGGCTGATGAATCTGATCCATTTCTTTTTTTCATTCTGAAATTGATCCATTGCCTCATAGGAAACACAGAGGTTCTGTGAACAAGTCCATGCTGCCATCAAGGCAATGATTTCAGTATACTATTCACTTCCCAAGGATCAGGGTAAGCCACTGTATACACATAAATATTTAATTTATGGGGTAGATCTTTGCTAATATGACAGCTTCTGTTCTGAGACTTTTACCTTTTCTTCAATTTGAGTATGTAGTGTAACTTGCTAGCGTAAAATGTACTCGAAGATAATATAACATCAGTGACCTCCATAAATAAACCTTTATGCTAAGGTATGATGCTGTGTTACCATCTTCCCTGCTTTGCCTGACTCCAAAAGTTTTTAATTTTCACTGGCTTCTCCCTCTCTAACCCATTATAACCACTACAGATGCTGGGTATATAGGGGCATCCCCAATCTCCTCCATCCATATGATATCACACCCTGTTTCTGAGCTCCCTTACAAGTTAAGTGACCTCCAGTCCTGCCTATAGGCTAATGCCTTGATTATAATCATTCCAAAATTATAAATGAATGCATGTCTCATGGATCTTTAGGGTTACTCAGAGATGGTTTAAACTTCAAGTGTTTCATCCACAGTTGCCAAGGGACCACTGACCTTAATGAATGGATATATGCTGTCATGGAAGTATTTTGTTTCAGATCTCTTTTGGAGAGCAATACTCAGAAATGGTGGGAGGAGCAAGAAAAAGACAAGGGGAAATACATATGACCTGAGTTTTGTGTTGGCACTCCAATTAAAGCATGTGGGTGCACATTACTTTAAATTATGAAGGTCTTAAACTCTCAAGAAAGCAGATGGTGACTTCCAGAAAGGAAACAAGGCTGCTTAGTCTTTGGGTTTGGCTACAGGAATCACTCTGAGAAAGCTGGTACGGAGCGCCACTCTGGACATCGTAGATGGCATGGCTCAACTTATGGATGTGCTTTTCATGACCCCAACTCAGAGGTAGTGATGCTACAGTTGGGTTTATCAGTTAATGGGGTTCCTTGCTTCAGGGAGGGGAGAAACCCTCATTTCAACAGCAAAGTTACTAATAGCTAAGAATGATGTCTAGCAGGATCCTTCTTTTTTAGGAGAGAAGAATATTGGTTATTGACATATCCTTATTGATTCCTTTCCCCAGCCCAGAGAACAATGACCTTATTTCCTACAACAGTGTCTGGACTGCATGCCAGCAGGTGCCTCGGATACCAAGAGGTGGGTGAGAGTGGGAAATGGGCCATTGACTCTGATGGTCAAAGTAGACAGTTCTCTCATACCTGGTTTCTAGTTTTGTAGCATGTGCATATTTTACTTACAGCTTAGTGGAATACTTATGGTTTATTAGTAACATCAGAATATAGGTATTAATGTTTTTTGCCGGTCTTTTTAGTTCTCATACTTAAAAAAAGATTTTTAATGTTATTTATTTTTGAGAGAAAAAGAAACATTGTGAGCCAGGGAGGGGCAGAGAAAGAGGGAGACACAGAATCTGAAAGCAGGCCCCAGGTTCTGAGCTGTTAGCACAGAGCCCTATGTGGGGCTCAAACCCATGAACCATGAGATCATGACCTGAGCCAAAATCGGATGCTTAACTGACTAAGCCACACAGGTGCACCTAGTTCTCATACATTTTTTTTTAGCCCTCTTTCTGTGGCCATGTCTTGTTGAACAAATGTGATTTGTTTTCCTGGTCCTGCCCCAGGAGCAGTATTATGGGACACACTGAAGCCCTTATAAGATAGTGCCAGCTAGGCCAAAACCAGTGTTTGTCAAGAGGCCCATGAAGAAGAACATCATGTGACCATTTTATTTCCTCTAGTGATGAATGATGAAAAGCTTTTTAACTCCTATCTGGGTACCCAGAGGATGGGTGTGAGAAAAATTTTAGATTAAACCACTGCTCTTATTGACCATCCTTGGCACTCTTCTCAAATGGGAACACTGTTGGTTGCCATTTGCAGACTTGACAGAATTGTTGGGTTTCTCCTCTAATTCTGGTGCTTCTGAATTTTCACTCATAGATAACAAAGCTGCAGCCCTTTCAATGCTGACGAAGAGTGTGAATCTTGTGAAGGATGCACATGAGGAAATGGAGCAGGTGAGGGGAAAACTCCATGATCATAGATGAGAATATAAAGAAAGGAGATTTCCTGAGCATTGACTCAATAAGTCCCATCCTCAGTCCTGGCTTTCAACTCCCATTTCCTACCCACACGACTCCCCTCTGTCTGTTGCTGGGCAAGGGAAGTAAGAACAGAATTTATGAAGTGATTGAACTCTGTAGCCATTAGTGAAGTAGCTGGCTGAGGTTTGGGGATAACTAAGACATGATGCAGAAAGTATAAAAAGGCTTGCCTTTTTTTTTTTTTTTTGGCATTCACATATATCATGGCATGTCTTAGGCCGTGGAAGAATGTGACCCGTACTGTGGCCTCTTGAATGACACCGAGGACAACTCTGATAACCACGGTGATGAAGACAATGATGGGTTGGGGTATCCAAACAATCGGGACTTATATTGGTCAGAGGAAGATCAAGAGCTCATAATCCCATGCCTTGCACTGGTGAGAGCATCAAAGGCCTGCCTGAAGAAAATCCGGATCTCAGTGGCAGAGAATGGGAAGAAGGATCAGGTGGCCCAACTGGACGACATTGTGGATATCTCTGATGAGATCAGCCCTAGGTAAGCAGAATCCCCACTTGAAACATGTGAGTGGCAGCATAGGATCTCAGCTTGTGTTGTAACTCCAAGCTTTTCCTCCAGTTTTTTACTTTGAACTTTTTCAACCTATAGGAGAGTTGATAAAAGTATTGCAGTGAACACCCACGTATCCTTCATCTACATTCACCTGTTGTTCACATTGTTTTAAATATTGGCTTATTTCTCAATGGATTAGATTTGCTATTTTTCTCCTGAACCGTTTGAGAGTAAGTTGCAGACATCAGTGACATTTCCCCCCTAAATACTTCAGCATGTATCTCTAAGAACAGACATTCTTATTACTATATCCAAGAACTAAAACATTGAATAGAAAATAGTTAATATTCAAATGTCCCCATTTGTCTCTAAGATGTATTTTAAAGCTTTTTTTTTAATCGAGGGTTCTGTCATAGTGTCACATTGCATTTGGTTGTCATCTCTTGCAGTAGTATGGTTTGGTTGTCATCTCTTGCAACTATAACAGTCCCTATCCTTTTTTAGTATTTTTTGACATTGACTTTTTTTTTGACAGTTAAGTATTTTATTATTTTTTAGTAGTTTATTGTCAAGTTGGTTTCCATATAACACCAGTGCTCATCCCCACAAGTGCCCTCCTCCATGCCCATCACTCCCCTTCCCCTCCCCCCTCCATCAGTCCTCAGTTTGACATTGACTTTTTAAAGAAAAGTTGTCTCGCAGAATATCCAAAAATCTGGATTCATGTGATTGTCTTTCTCATGATTATAGATTATATTCAAGTTAAATATTTTTTGGCAAAGATATCACATATTTGAGTATTTTGTGCTTCTCATTGCATCATACTGGGGAAGCGCATAATGTTAGTTTGTCCCATTATTAGTGGCACTAAATTTCATCACTTGGGTAAAGTCGTGCCCACTTGAGTGACATCCATGGATGAACTCCAAAGTTATTAAATTGTTGGTTTCAGATCCTCCCATTTTTAAATGAATTAATCATATCCTATCATATAGGCCAAGAGAGTTTCTTCCCCCAGCTTCCTAGTGAAATGGGGTAAGTAGATTTTTAGTAAGTTATCAGTTGAATTGAGTCTGGCTGCCCAATGTAAGGAATTAATAGGCATTTATGGGACATTTTCTCACTGGTCACATCCTTAATTGTGTGCTGAAAACCACCCAGTTGAGCTTTGTTCCTTTTTTTGTTAATGGTTATTTTTGCTTTCTGCCCTTAGTGTGGATGATTTGGCTCTGAGCATATACCCACCTATGTGCCACATGACTGTGCGAATCAATGTAAGTACCAACTTTGAGGGAATAGCTACTTACCTAACTGGTAGAATTTCCCTAATCACTAATATTTCCTTTAAGCTGTAGAGAACATATTTATTTGTTATACTGGGATGCCAGTATAACAATAATGTCACAGTTTTTAAATGTATTTCTACCTGATAAATATTTACTGAAGTTGAATTATAATAGCCGTGGGTTTTGGTAGTACTCTCTTCCATAACCACGTGGGGAGTCACTTAGAAAAACCCAAAGACCTTAGAAAAAGCTACTTTGAAAAGAAAGTTTGATTTACCACAGTACTTTAGGATTTTCTCAACCTGAAGTTGTAAATTTCTGATTTCTGGTGTAGGCAAAAACAAGTGTTCCAGAAACATACTCTGTTTTCGTATAAACATATTGGGTGATTTAAATAAAGAAGGTCAAGCTCTTTTAAATATCTGATTTTGGGGCACCTGGGTGGCTTAGTCGGTTAAGCGTCCGACTTTGGCTCAGGTCATGATTTCACGGTTCATGAGTTCGAGCTCTGCATGGGGCTCTGTGCTGACAGCTAGCTCAGAGCCTGGAGCCTGTTTCAGATTCTGTGTCTCCCTCTCTCTCTGACCCTCCCTTGCTCACACTGTCTCTCTCTCTTTCAGAAATAAGTAAAAAAACATTTTTAAAAATCTGATTTTATTGTATTCTTTCATGTCCTATGCTAGAGAGAATTCTATTCTTTTACTTTTAGAGACTCAGATTATCTCTACAGTTATTGGAAATAGAAATAAAACTGCCAAATGGCTTATATCTTACATTCACAATTTCAGTCCTAAAAATATTTGATAAATTCGATGGTGGAAATTAAATTCATCAAATATATCTTCACTATGTGCATATACCTTAAAGTAGAATAGGATCCTTTTGGGTGTTAACTTTTTTTTCACATTCATTTTTTAAAAATTGACTTTCCAAGAAATAAACATCTTTATCAATATGCCTTATCAATTACCCTAAATAAAAATTTTAAAAGATGTACTGTATATTGGTGGGTTATGTATATCCTCATGTTATTTTGTTATTTGTATGTTTAAAATTCTGTACATAGTTTTTTTTTTAAAGGAACATTAGCTATTCTTGCTATGTATTCAGAGCTGTCAGCAGTTGGGACAAATTCAGGTTATATTCTAACTTCCTCCATTTTTTCAAAATTTAAAAAAGTATTAAAAATTTATAAAAATGTTAAGCTAGCAATATTAATAAGATTTTGCTAATTAGAGAAGAATTCTATAATTCTACCACCCTAATCTAACCAGAATTTTTGTTTTTGCCGTTTTCTTCAAGTTTTTTTTTTTTTTAATACTTTTATTACTTGAGTCTTTTAATATATCTTGTCTTTCCTTTCCTTTTTATAGTAAAGCTCAGGGTGAGTAACTTCTCTGTTTCTTTTCCAGTCTGCAAAACTTGTATCAGTCTTAAAGAAGGCACTTGAAATTACTAAGTGAGTATGAGGACTTCTCCCCAAATAGCTTTCTTGAGAATAAAACTATCCAGGCATTCTCAACTCCCAAAACTCCATTTTAAGAAGTGGAAGAAGGTGGGTGTAATGTTTTCTTTCCACTTGAGTCATGGAGCAGCTAAGTTTCTACAAAGAAACTTGCCTTCTGTTACTATAGTTTCCTTTGTGCTCCCTGTTGAGGGTAGATTTTGTTTTGACAGTATAAATTTAACTTCTCTGCCTCCCCATTCCATTCACAGAGCGAGTCATGTGACCCCACAGCCTGAAGATAGTTGGATCCCTTTACTCATTAATGCCGTTGATCATTGCATGAACAGAATCAAGGAACTCACTCAGAATGAAATTGAACTGTGAGTTTTCAAGCTCATTTGTACTCTCCATTCTCCTTATTATCACAGGTAGCCTCTGATGTCTGTTTTCAAAATGGGGCTAGAATGCTTTCTGGATCAAAATGGAGTTCCTGTCCATACTTGTCAAGAGATGTTACTACCAAAGATTATTGATTAGGCCAGAGTGGAAATTATTGTATACTACTTAAGTCTGATATATTTTTTTGTGTTAGATACAAAAGATAATTGCATGAGTTTGCATTCCTGAATCACCTTTTAGAGATTCCTGCAGAAGCTGCCTTATGCCCTATTTGCAGTAAAGTGTGTTTTTCATTGTTAAACATGTTGATGGTCTTAATAAAATGTTGACCTGCCGGTGGTTCAATAAGTAACCTTTCAGAGTTTCTTTTTACTAGAAATACAGTGGGTTGAGACTAGCACATTGCTTTCATTTGGGTTTATAGGTCTAATGGTTTGATTCTGATCAGAACTGTATTTAGAACAAAAACACTTGACTTTAATTCTTTAGAGATGACTTCAAAGCCCCTGTGAGTACTTCAGTGTGTTATATATCATTATTCTTATCATTAAGTCCTTCTGAATATTATTCCATCCATGCCTCAAAAGTTTTTTTGGTGTTGAGGTCACTTGTTAGGTTTGTCCACCTTATGGAACAGATTTTGTTTTCTTATGCATACTTGTATTATTGTTTGGTTATATGTTACATGTGTCTCCAAATGTAAATACAAAATTTTTATAAATCAAATATTTTTAAATGTATAAGAGAGTTTATATAATTTTAAGGGCCTTTTCAGTTAATCCTTTTGCACAACCTTCATTATATTTTTGCATCAGTCTGGAGGATCGCATATTGGAAAGCAAGGTGTACATCACCTGTAGTGATGTGTACTCTGGTGACCTGACTTCGGCCTTACGCATGTGCTATAGGTCTCCACAACCTCTAATGCCAGTTCTTTTCCTTACATAGATGTCATTTACCCCATCTGCCTGTCTGATGTCCCCGTAGTCTTTTTAGGTATATTCAGCAACAGCAGCCATTCTTCTGAGCAATGAGTATGTACTTGGGTTGCAATTCCTTACGTCAAATGAATTTTAATTTACTTTTATGAAATGCCACTCTATTTTTTAAACACATTTTTATTCATTTTTGAGAGACAGAGTATGAGTGGGGGAGGGGCAGAGAGAGAGAGACACACAGAATATGAAGCAGTCTCCAGGCTCTGAGCTGTCAGCACAGAGCCTGACACAGGGACCGAACCCATAAACCATGAGATTGTGACCTGAGCTAAAGTCAGACACTTAACTGATGGAGCCACCCAGATGCCCCTTTACTTTTAATAAGAGTTGTAAAGAGAAGAAACTAAAATCACACTGAGAGCGTCAAAGCAACAAAATAATGTAAACAAAAAAAAATTTACAACTTTGTACAAAAGGAATCCAGTTCTTTTATTTTTTTCTTCTAGTACCTGTTCTCTATATACTTAATAGTTTTCACATTTCTCCAAAGGGCCAAGTTCATGTTATCAACAGCAGACTTTAAGCATGGGATACTTAATGGAAGTTTAAGTGGGAAGTTCAGGGGCTTTCACAGTGATCCCTCTGTAGCTAGTTTGGTTCTGGAATATATCACAATCCATTTCCACAGTGAGCCTCTGGGGCCCCACCTGTGTCGGTATGAACTGGAATTGGGTGTACAAGGTGTTTCCAGGCCACACTGATGCTAATCTGAAATAAAGGAAAAGGCAGGTGATAGTTCTGTCCCATTGCTTTGCTGGCCCCAATAACTGATTTTTCCCTACTAGAAGAGGTGATCTGTGAAGAAATAAACATTTAAGTACCTTGCTGTTGAAACAGAGGAGGTGTTAGGGGATAGAAGACAGGAACCTCCCTATGGTGAGCAATTGCATGGTTGAGAAGAGAAACATCCTATTCTAAGAGCTTCCAAGCCGCATCTATTATTTCTTTTATAACCTGTGACTTCAGTCTGGTCCCATTCTTGGTAATACTCAGGTTATGTTTGGGAAGGCTTTGGTTTTAGAACCCTCAAGTTGCTAAGTGCTGTGAGAGTACAGTGGACGTATACAGAAAATGTCAGTATGACAACAGATGGTGTTTCGAACCCTGTCAGACCTCCTGGCCTGCTGGACCTTCTTACAGTGACTAAGGGAATAGTGGAGATTCCCTGTGAAGAGCTTTCCCCCAGTTGATCAGGGATACCACAAAAGCATAGTTGAATGTTGGCAGTCCCTCCTCTCAACTTATTCACAAGAGTGATTCATTGAGTTTCATAAGGCTGAGGCCCAGGCTCAATAACCAGACAACTCTCAGGGATTTCAGGGATGGTAGGAGTAAGTATCGGGAACTCTAAATTGTAAACTGTATTTTCAACAAAGGATATGGTGGACACAGTAAGAGAAGAGATAACGAAAGATTCCTGCAACATACTGAAACCAACAAAGGACTAATACAGGTAACTTCTACAAATCAACAAAGAGAAAAGCCAGGAACACACAAAAAAAGTGAGCAAAGATAAGAACATACCTTTTACAGAAGAGGAAACAGAAAAGGCTAATAAACATATGAAGAGTTGCAAATTAAAACAATGAGGCAATAGAAATATTACCTCATTTCTGTTAGCCTGGAAGAAAAGAGAAAGCTGGGTATTGCCAAGAGTGGAGGAATGGTAGGAATTCAGAAACTCATGTACTGCTAGAGGGAGTGTGGACTTCTGCAGTCATCCTGCAAACAAATCTGATAGTACACAGTCAAACCAGGTCATATTCTGTGACCTAGCAATAAGAAGATGCACAAGGATGTTCATTGTCATAATATTTGTGGTGTTTGGGAGTTGGAGGCAATCTGGGTGCCTATCACTGTGGAGCGGAGTGGTAGGAAGTCCAGGATATACACAGTGAAGTGTTATGTTGCAGAAGCAATGGATGCAACATATGCGGATGAATCTCAAAAACAGTTCTGAGAGAAAAGTAAGAAAAAGGATTAGACATAACATTTATGTAAGTTAAAAATACAGTCTTATGAAGCACACTTTTTACACGTTCCGATGAAAAGACATACATACTAACAAAAGAATGTGAAGGGAGGTGGTGGGAACAGGAATAAAAAGGAATATTGAAACAAAATTTTATATTATGGTTGTCATTAGTAGAATGCAGTTCTCTGGCTGCACCAACAAGCAGCCTACCCTCCCTGTGATATTCTCTAGTACCCAGGTCTAACCTCGCTGCCTGCACAGCAACGATCAGGGTCATGTGGGTGCCCAAGGGGCATGTAGCCTCCCTCACTCCTGCCTCCCAGGATTAGAGGCCCTAATTCCTTTAGTTCAAATTATGGAGGTATTTTCTCTGTGTCTCAATGGACACAGCAAAAAGGCAATCATTAATTTTGGGTCCCTGCCTTTCTGACTAGTTGAGATGTTTTGGGGGGTGAGAAGCTTATAGTCTCTTACCTGTATCTCTTCTCTCTGTAAATGAGCCCCCTTCCAAAAATGGAGATCACACAGTAGTGCATAGGAACATCTAGGAAGTTATGGAGGCTGACCGAAGCCTTAAGAAGTTGATATTGCTCTGTTGTTTCTGGCATCTGTGGGAAGAGGCAGAACCTGAAGCAGATGCCAAGAGCACAGAGCCACAGTTACTGCTTCCCGTCCTAGGCATCCTCCCTATACTCTCCTCAGTTACTCTTCTGTCTCTGCCTTCTGGACCCAAACTCCACAGCTGACTTCTTTACCCCTCTATCTGGTCTTCCTGCATTTATTCTTACCCTTGATTCATCAGTAGTCATCTCTGATGGTGCCTCTACTCTACTTAGAAAGGTGAGGGGTAGGAGCACCTGGTGGCTCAATAGGTTGAGTGTCCGACTTCGGCTCAGGTCATGTTCTCACAGGTCATGAGTGCAAGCCCCGTGTTGGCCTCTGTGCTGACAGCTCAGAGCCTGGAGCCTGCTTCAGATTCTGTGTCTCCCTCTCTCTCTCTGCCCCTACCCAGTTCACTCTCTCTCTCTCTCAAAAATAAATAAATGTTTTTTAAAAATTTTATTTTAAAGAAAAAAAGGGCTTCCCATTGTCTTCAGAATTCAACTTTGGTTGGCATTCAGAGTCCCTTGTGGCCTGACCCCAATCCCCTTCTCCAGCTTCACCTGTTCTTCCCTCAACTAAATGACATCTCAACCACCCTAGGCACTTTCCTATCCCAGCACACCCCTTGGGCTCCCTTCTTTTGGGCCTCTGTGATGAGTCTTCTGCCTGCAGTGGCCTTCCTCCATCTCTGCACTAAAGCTTACCTATTTTTCAAGGCCCAGCATAAATGCCACTTCTTTCCATTAAGTCTTCCTCAAATTCACCAGCTGGAATTAACCCCTTACTTCACTTATCCCATAGTGACTTTGTGCCTCTATTTAAGCGTTTACATAAAAGACCAAACATTGTGTCTCCTTTACTTAATTGTAATATAACCTCCTTGAGGGCTGTGACCAGATTGCATTCATCTTGGCCAGGGTAGACATGTGAAAAGAGGGCTAGATCAAGAGCCATAAGCCTCAGAAACATCCCATTTTTATAATCATGGGCATGATACTCTCTAGGACTATTTTCTCATCTGAATAATGGGAATAGTTATACCTCACAGGGATTTTATATTAAAAGGAGTTGAAAATACATGGGCCTATGTATAAAGCTCTAAATAAACAGGCTGATATTATCTGTCTAAATATGGAGACAGCAACTGGGGAGGCCCTCATTGTAAAAATATTTAACCAAAAAAAAACTTGGAAGATGTAAATCTTAATAGCATATGTAAGAAACCATCTCTTTCAAGAGAGACTTCTCAGCCTACCATTTTCTGGTAATCCTACAGCACAGTCGTTTGCCCTGAAGCTTGAAGGGCTCTGTGTTCTTCTGAAATGGGAGCAAAGGAGAACAATTCCGGGGAAGACTGGTGCCTACCTCGATGAGTAGGCGTGGTCTACAAATGGCGATGTCTTCCTGAGCAAAGCAGCTGAGGCTGGACTCAGACTGTGTTGCCTTGGCTATGGCGGTGAGTCTGAGGAAGCTGTTCTCTGGTAGCCTTTGCTCAAAACAAGAGAAGGACACACTGTTGGTGGTTGTGGAATCTGAAACATATGACAGGCAGAGTCAGTGCAAAGGGATGAGTGCATGTGCCCTGGAAACAAGCAATAGTTACACACAATGCGAAGGAGTCAGTGTCTCACTGAAGCCAGAATGATGCCTCATTTCTCACAATTTCAAACTTTGAACGCATGCAAGACCCCACCCCTACTACCATCACAGCCTCTGCAAGCGCTCTTTGCAGACTTCCTCAGTGGGGTTGTGGAAGTTCCCTGTAAACTAGAATGAGTTAAGCTCTCTGGCCTCAGTTTGCCTTGTCTGATAATAACAACTACTTGGCAGGATAGCTTATGTTAAATGAGATACTGAGTGTCTATCTCAGACACTGCCACACAGTTGTTGCTAAATATATGCTTACTTCCTTCTTATTCTCTGTTTATTCATTTTCCCTTTTGCAGAGAAAATGAAGCCATCCTTCATCCTTGAGGAATCTTTTCAAGCTCCTATTCCCGTTTCCAACCCCGTAGACAAAGACCACTACCCCTGCTACCACCACCCCTGGGAAGATGAGGTGTCCTCCCTCCCCAAGTCAAACCTCCACTTTTGAGGTCTGTACCCCATCTTGACCCCACTATTGGCTGCTTGTAACTTTGGGCAAATTATTTAACCTCTCTGTGTCTTGGTCTCCTTATCTGTAAAGTGGGAATAACAGTGGTTGCTGCCTTGTAAGGTTGTTGTGAGGATAAATGATATAACGCATAATGTACATTTAACACTGTGTTTGCCAAAAATAAGCTACAGTTATTCTAGTTTCCCTCATTTCCCCAAAGGTTGCACCATCAGTTTTAACCCATCTTTCCTGAGGCTTTAGCCTTTCCCTCTCTGTTGATTATTTTCCTCAGAATGAAAGCAGTTTCTGCTCTCTCATATTAAATAAACAAACCAAATGGGGCACCTGGGTGGCTTAGTCGGTTAAGCGTCCGACTTTCGCTTGGGTCATGATCTCACGGTTCGTGGGTTCGAGCCCCGCGTCGGGCTCTGTGCTGACTGCCAGCTCAGAGCCTGGAGCCTGTTTCAGTCTGTGACTCCCTCTCTCTCTGACCCTCCCCTGCTCACGCTCTCTCTGTCTCCTAGAAATAAATAAAATATTTAAAAAAAATAAAGTAATTAAAAAAAGAAATTAAAAAAAAATAAAGAAACCAAAAACCAAAAAGCAAAACAAAACAAAAAACCCAAAAAACAAGAAACCCCACCCTCTCTACCCAGCATCCCTGGCTGACAGCCACGCATCCTGTCTCCTATTTCTGTCTGTTCTTCCAGGAAGGACTGCCACTGTGTTTTGCTTCTTCAACTCTCAATCAGTTTAACCCCCAAGAAGCTGTCCTTTGCCATCACCTCTCAGTAAAACTATTCCTCAGTGTCCGCTTTTCAGCCTTGACATCTCATAGCCACTCTGCTCACCCTGCTAGGGGGTCCTCCTGTCTTTGACTTCTCCATTCCCCTTCTGTTCCTTCCCTGCCTTACCCCTACATGCTGGTGCTGCCTGGATTCCCTCTTCACCCTCTTCTCTTCTCACACCCCTTCTTCTACCCCCACGAGCTCATCAATGCCCTGACTTGGCATCCTCTTCAGTGCTGGGATTCCTACATCTGGTTTCAAACCAAGGCCTTTATCTTGAATGCCATATTTAGGTTTCCAGCTGCTTCCTGACCATCTCTGTTTGGATGTCTCATGGGTTTTCAAACCCAAAGAACCATACTTGTTCTTCCTCATTGTCCCTATTCTGGAGGCTCATCCAAACTGAAAGCAACCCTCTAACTGCCCCCCCATACATATTCATAAATCCAATCTATCCCCCCTCCTGAATATGTCTTCATTTGAAGTGCTGCTAGTCTAGTTTGTCCTTCATTCCTTGACTTGATTATTAGAAAACTTTCCAGCCTCTGATTCAATGGTTCTCAACATTAGATGTCATATTATGTGCACATTAGAGTCATAGAGAAAGCTTTATAAAATGATCCCAATGCCAGGTTGCACATCACATCAATTATATCAGACTCTGGCAGTGAGGCCCAGGCAGCAGTATTTTTGAAGTTCCCCAGGTGATTCATCATGTAGCCAAGGTTGAGAACCATTGTTCTAATATGACCCCTTCCATTCCATTCTGCCAGAATAAATTTCTGATCACATTCACTCTTCTAGTTCAAACTTTTTCCCAGCTCCCCACTGCCTAGGGAACAAAATTCAAACCATTTGGCATGATATACAAGTCCCTGAATGATCCAACCCCTGCAACCCAAAAAAAGGAAACATGGTGGAGAAACTGGGGGCTTCAGGGGCTGGTTAGGAGATTGTTGCAATAATGCAGACAAGCTGTAGTCCACTGATTGTCTCTTGCCTGCACACTGCAATCACTCAAAGAATGTAAACAGTTTTTGATGTTTGGGTCAGACTGTGGGGTTTCTGATTTAATTGGTCTGGAGTGCAGGCTGGGCATCCAACTTCCCTGGGTGATTCTGATATGCAGCAAGGTTTGAGAACAACTACTCTAGTCCAGGGTAACATAGGGAGCTTTTAAAAAGTAGCTGTGCCCAGACCCCATCCCACACCAATTACGTAGGAATTTGGGGGAGGAAGAGGAACCTGTGCACATATTGTTCCTTCTGCCTTGAGTACTCATGACTCACTTTGCTGCCTGTCACCATCCTTCATACTCATCCTTTCAGACCCAGTGTAGTCTGCTCTATCTGGGAGCAGCCTGCTCCAACCTGGGAGACATGTACTCTGTTTACATCATCAAACACTTCTTATACTGCAGCCATTATCTGCTTACCTATCTGACTGCAGGTGGAATTGTGGGTGCTTTTTTCTATGTGAAGCTCAATAAATATATGTTGAATGACCAACAAAGGGAACACCAGGGGCTAGCAGCCACCTCTTCAGAACTTCAGGGAGTGCCCCATGGCTGCTGCCTACCCAGGGTAGGAGCTGGGGGTTGAGGATGTCTGTCAGGGCCATAGAATTACCCGTATTGGCACCGAGCGTAAGGAACCGCTTGTTCTTCCAGAGCTTGGCAGCAAGGATGCCATTGTAGTATATCGCCTGCAGCCCAATTGCCAGCTCCACAGCCGCCTCCTCATCAGTGGGGTTAATCAGGGTCACTGAGAACTGGACATTCCCTCCCAGGCATAGGGAGCTGGGTGCCTCCAAGAACAGGTACAGAGGCTCAGCAGTCTTGAGACTGGGAGGATGGATGCCACTGTCGTTTTTATGTTCCATTCTCTCTTTCTGGACTCTCTCCAGCACTTCTTTTTCTTGAAAAGATCCTGAGAAATGGAGGAAATAAATAAAACAGGCCTCTTAACCAGAGGGTATAGACCCTTCTAATGAAAGTCCAGGATTAAGATTGATTTACCTAATGCTACTCAAATCCCAAAGTCATAAGAGCATTGCAAACCTCTAAGGCCACATTTAGCTTAAAAAAAAAAAAAAAAGTCCTAATGTGAGACCTGAAGCCATAAAAATCACAAAACACAGGCAGTAACTTCTTTCTAAATATGTCTCCTGAGGGGCGCCTGGTTAAGCATACAACTCTTGATTTTGGCTCAGGTCATGATCTCCCGGTTTTTGAGATTCAGCCCCATGTTGGGCTCTGTGCTGACAGAGCCTGCTTGGGATTCTCTCTCTGCCCCTCCTCCACCTCAAAACAAACAAACAAACAAACAAACAAATAAACAATTAGAAAAAGATATGTCTCCTGAGGCAGGAGAAAAGCAAAAATAAACTATTGGGACTACAGCAAAATAAAAGTCTTCTGCACAGTGAAGGAAACAAATAGCAAAACTAAAAGGCAGCCTACAGAATGGGAGAAAATATTTGCAAATGACATATCCAATAAGGTGTTAGTAGTCAGAATAAAGAACTTATAAAACTGAACACCCAAGAAATGAATAATCCAATTTAAAAATGGGCAGAAGACATGAATGGACATTTCTCCAAAGAAGACCTACAGATGGCCAACAGCCACATGAAAAGCTGCTCAACATCTCTTATCATCAGGGAAATGCAAATCAAAACTACAATGAGGTATCAATTCACACCTGTCAGAAGGCCTAAAATCAACAACACAAGAATTCACAGGTGTAGGTGAGGATATGGAGAAAGGGGAACCCTCTTGCAGTGTTGGTGGAAATGCAAACTGGTGCAGCCACTCTGGAAAACAGTGTGGAGTTTCCTTAAGAAGTTAAAACTAGAACTACCCTACAATCCAGCAATTGCAAGTAGGTACTTAACCAAGGAAGAGAAAAATACTAATTCAAAGGGATACATGTTCCCTGATGTTTATAGCAGCATTATCTACAATAGTCAATTATGGAAGCAGCCCAAGATGATACTTGACATAAAAAAGGATGTGGTGAGTATGTGTGTATATGTATATATACGTGTATATATATATATATACACATATATGTGTGTATATATGTATATATATATATGTATTTATATATATATGTGTATATATATATATATACCCTGCCCAATACCTTCAGGATACTTGTAGTTCTGAGTGATGTCCTCACAGCAGTCACTGCCCACACTCTTGGTGCTGATGTTGTTGCCAACATACTTAGTGTTGGAGTTGGTCAGCTCCAGTGTGCCATCCTTACAACACTTCCAGACCACACATGAGGCATTTACTGCAGCAAAAAGGTCTGATACTGCAGGCATCAGCCCTAGAATCCCCTCTTTGACTGCTCTGACAGGAACCAGATCGCAGGACTCCAGGACTGAGGGAGGAAAAGGTCATTGAGCAAGAGGAACCATACCAAGACCTCTCCCGTGCCAAATCTGCATAACCTTAGTCCCATTTCATGTCCTATTTTCCCTTCCCTGAAACCAAGGTCAGAGGTAGGCACTAGGCAACGTTTCTGAAAGGGCATTGCAGAAGTGAAATTCACAACTATTTAGTGACAATCCTTTTTGGTCTTGGCCTGTGGCAGAAGCCTTCTCAGAAACAGGAAAGGTAGAAATTTAGAGGACCATAGTATACAGGAGTTCCTTAGCCATCTCTACTATGGATATGATAGGAATAGTTAACTTTTATTGAGCACTTATTATGTGCCAGGCTCTATTACTGCTGAGGCTGCTGAGAAAGAAAGAACGATCATTTTATGGCTCCTAAAGATTTCTTCTCTGAGCTTGAGCCTATCCGGATACCCTCTTTATCCATATCCAGAACCTCAGAAATCCCATCGACAAGCCCCTAACCCACAACATCCACCAGACCCTCTCCCCTTCATTGGGATTCTGCTCCCTTGCCTGTTGCTCTGAGGTAGGGCTAGTCTCCCCACAGCCTTGGGCCTAAATAGCTAACACCTTTGTTTCTTTGAGCCCACTGGCTTCAGGTCAGCATTCTGCTGGCCACTATCATTCCTTCCACTTCTCCAGTTTTAGAGGATGCAGACCCTCTTTGGACTTTCTGCTGCTCATATTTCCTCTCTGAGGGACTCCTTCAGCTTGTGTAGCTTTGTGCAGCCCAGGATGGTACTGGGCCTACCCCCAGACTTTACCTCTACCTCCACTGTGAGCATTTGGGTACAGAATCTGCCATCCATCGTAACCTTGGGGCAAAGCAGGCCGGGTCATCCAGCACTCTGTGGTAGTCTGGAAGATCCTGAAGGTATCAAAGGGAATAATTCAAGTGGGGACAAAAGTAGTCCTGAAAAGCTGAAGGCATTCTAGAAATGGCAGAGTCAATACTGCCATGGGGATGGGAGGACACTGTGTAAAAGTGGCTGCCACACTCCCGGGAAGGGGGGGTGGGGTGGTGCATGCCACGACTGACCATCTACGTCCCACCTATAAGAGTCCTAAGGGCCTCCTCTCAGTGTGAGGGCCACTCAGGATGCGTGGGGCTTATACTATGTGTATTTGGAGTCCTTCCAT